TCTATATATATAGAAGCAATATATGTTAGTATACTGTAAAACTTTCAAATAAGTATATAATTTGCTTTTTGAACTAAGAACGTACTATGCACTAGTGAATATAAAGCCCAAAAATTTTATTATCAATCATTATAACGATAATCGTTAAATACTTCTAGATCTACGAAATACTGATCTTATTCCTATACAGTATACTTAAAATCTAGTAAACGGGGAAAAAAATACAAAATATTTAGGAATTTAAACAAAAAATATCATTAGAAGATCTGTGGGTGTGTATCAATTACGAATGAACTTAAGCATTATTAATGCTTAATTTCATCTTATCGCTATCATTCATTGACGTAGATAGTAACATGATATACTAAATTAGGATATGATTATCACCTGTTTCAAACAGGTTTGGGGGCACATAGATACATGCCTGTATGTATATAATAATTACTTTTAAGTACATATTCTAAGTACATAGTATATTATCTCTATACAAAGAGATTTTAGACTATTTATTTAGATCGATGATTTAAGAAATTTATTTTTAACATGTCACAATTTTATGTATTATTTCTATATAGGGGAGATTGAGGTTCTTAAATTTCTTGTACTGTACACAAAACTTTACTATATTTCGAGTAGCTAATCTGGCTTTTCACATTTGATCTTTAGACTTTGACTTCTGGAGAAAATAAAAAGTTAGAATTTTAAATTATAGCAATCTATTTTTGAACAATAGTATTAAAATGAAAAAAGATGAAGCAAAATCATTCGAATGCACTTAATTGTGTGAAGATGAATTTTTTTTTTTTTTTTTTAAAAAAAATTTATTTTATTTTTTTTTTTTTTTAATTAAAATATTGCCCCTTTATTTTTTTTTTTTATATCTTAGTCATTTTCATTTTGGTAAATGAAGTTGCACTATTTCTTATTTTAGAAATATTTTTCTCTTCCTATTTTTTTGTTTCTTATCACTTGTAACAGCAATAATAGAAGGACCTTCTGAAGAGCCGATGAAAAAAAAACAAAAATACAATAAAGAAAAAAAATCTAATACAAGAAAAAGCTTGACCGGTATTCAGAAAGCCGAAATATGCAACCTAAAGCAAAAAGGAGTTAGTCAAGTTAAACTAGCCAAACAGTTTGGTGTAGCCGAAGCTACAATCTCAGATATTGTTCATAAAAAAGAAAAGTGATTAGCACTTGATTTAAACTTGAACAATGCCCATTCAAAGTAACAAAGGGGTAGAAAATACCCTCTGGTAGAAGAAGCACTTGTATTTTGAATATTAAAAGCAAATACTGCGCTGCAAACAATTTCGGGTACAATAGTCAAACGTAAAGCAACACAACTTGCGGAAGGGCTTGAAGTGACAGATTTCAACGCATCTGATGGGTGGCTTTCAAATTTCAAAAAAAGGCACCATATAAAAGAATACAAATATTTAGGTGAAGATGCAAGTGCACCTTTTGAGAATCTTTTCAGATTTCGCAGTAAGCTGCAAGAACTAATCAAAAAATACAAGCCTGAGAATGTTTATAATGCTGATGAAACTGCATTATACTGGCATATAAAACTTTATAAAATGTTAGCTAATAGCCCGGTTGCAGGAAAAAAAAAGCCAAAGACTGTATTACCATATTACTTACATGTAATGCAACCGGTAATCACAAACTCCCCTCTGTTTATACATAAATTTAAAACCCCTCGAGCTCTCAAAAATATTAATAAATCCACCTTACCTGTGTATTATTACTGGAATAGTTCCTTTTGAATGCAAACGTCAATTTTTAATAATTATATTAAGTATCTAGATAACCAAATGCGCTTTGCTTGTTGTTCAATTCTTCTCTTATTAGATGGTGCATCAATTCACATACTTGAAAAAGGCTTTACCCCAACAAATGTTAAATTGCATTTTTTTCTTTCACATACAATAGCATATCTTCAACCATGTGATGTAAGAATAATTTGGAGTTTTAAGGTTAGCTAATTTAAAGTTTTTTATTTACCTGAATTTTTTTTATTTAAACTTTATTTTTCTTTTTTTTTTAAGTTTTTTTTTTATTTAAATTTTTTTTATTTAAGTCATTTATTAATTTTTTATTTTATTAAATTATCAATGTAGACATATTATAAAAAATTTTTTTGTGTAGACCATATAGAAGCTTTTGATTTTTTTTGAAATCTGGTAACCCTCCCGAAGAGATAACTATCAAAGATGTGATTGATTTTACAGCTGCGGTATGGAAAGAAGTAACCTCAAATAAGAATTAGAATCCGTTTGGTTAACTACTATGTTTAATCGACTAATTAATCAACTAAATATAGTAGTTAATTCAATTACTTTTTCAATTAGCTAAAATAATTCTCTAATTTTAAGAATGATTCGTAACTGTTGGAGAAAGACTAGCATTTTGCTAGAGGGTTTTCTTAGTGAATTATTTTTGCATAAAGAACCTGATCAAACCAATAAACCTAACCAAGCCAATGAACCTGACCAATCCAATAAACCTGACATTATTGATAAGATTTAGGATTTAATTATGTGATTGCCTTCGACTAACCTATAGATACATATGAATATGTAATTGCTGACAATAACCTTATCACCACTGAAATGCCAACTGATGAAGAAATAATTGAAGCCGTCAAGAATCGTGATTGTATTGAACCAGATAAAGAAAAATTACAAAAACCAATATCACCTGTAGAAGCCTTAAGATTTATTTGTGGGATCCTAACTTTTCTTGAAGAGCAGCCAGATGGAAGTTTTAAAGTTGATGATTCTCTTATTCAGAATTTAGGGAAATTAAAAAAAGAAGTGAATTCGAAACTTGTCACTTCCAAATGTTAAGCAACCTTGGATACATTCATTTGTAATATGAATTAGACCAATTTTTTTTTTTTAAAAAAAAATTTCTCTTTTTTTTTCTTTTTTTTTTTTAAAAAAATTTTTTTTTTTTTTTTTTTAAAAAAATTTTTTTTTTTTTTTTTTTTAAAAAAAATTTTCATTTGACTTGGAGCAGAATTAGAAGATTACAAGAGCAGGTGCAGAAGTAATAACAGATTAAATAAAAACTGATCAGACAGCAATATTTTATTTTAGCATTTTTATTGAATATAGTAGCTTGGAATTGGGCTGACCAACTTTGAAAAATTTGAAGGGATAAATTTCAAACTTTTTTTACAAGATACAATCAGATTTTTGTGGGCAACTGCAAAATTTTTTTTAATTTTAATTATTTTGATAGTAAAATACTTTAAATCAAATTTTTACAAATAAATTTTAGTTTCTGGGTGCTTTATTTTAATTAAAATAAAAATTTCTCTTTGGGCCTGACTTTTCATGGTTTCATAAATGTAATTTTAGTATATACTGTGATACCACTAATTGATATCCCAGGAAGGATGCCAATAGTTTTTAGCATATGGTCTTTTATATTAATCTTGTAATTACTATCAACTTTCGATGATTTTACAAGATAATGTCAATTTTTGGGA